GAAACTAATCAAGGAGAGAAGCAACTTAGAACTGAGGAGAAATTTCCTGACAGTTAGAACAATTAATCAGTGGAACAGTGGAATGTCCCAACACTGGAAGTCTTTAAGAAGATGTTGTATAGCCATTTGTCTGGAACAGTATAGTGTTTCCTGCCTAGGCAGGGGGTTGGACTAGAAACCTCCAATTCCAACTCTGCTATTGTATTGTATTCTCCAGCCAACCGGTACGCCTCTACCGGGACGTACCACCTGGAAACCACCACTGATGCGGAGCCCTTATAACAAATCAATCAGATACATAAAAGATTTTATTTCTGAACATGTGAGTTTACAGAAGCTAATAACCCTGGGAAAGTTATATCAATGAAAACAAAAGAGCACAGGCCATGAAGAAAATACAGAACACAGAATTAAGCAAGTGGCATGGTAAATTTTCCAGTGCTAAAAAATATACCCCAAGTACTTGAAAAATTAATAAGTCTCATCAACATTATAGATTTGGAAATCATAATAGCAGCTGATTATTTTCACTTCACAAGAAATAGTATTGCTGATATGGCTTACTTATTGATATTTGCAAGATAAATGTCAGCCACATGGCTGCCGCTTGGACAATTTGAACCAGCTCTGGCTGTCACTTTTTCTTCAGGTGGCTCGGAATTTATTTCTACTTCAGATTTTGGGCTTGATCTTTCAGACATCCCATCCTCACTAGGAAAGAAAGAAAGAATATACAACAACTCTATGTTATATGCTCAAACTACACTTTAGGGTATAAAACATAGATGCCAGATATCAACACAATTCTTTTACTCCCTTGCTTAAAAGTATCCTTCCTTGGAGTAGCCAAAATGCAGTTTGCAAAACTATCAAGGAAGATTTTATTGATAAAATTCACAAACATAAAACACAGACGCAACATTTCACAACACTCAATGAAACAAATGAAAAACATTTCAATGACTCATCTTCAGAAATAATGCTAAATTGATTCCAAACACACAACAATAAGAAATAACATACGTGTCCTGGACAACAATGTATTGATGAGGGATCAAACCGTCAATGCCATTGTGACGGCCTTCCCACCAGTCGTCAGAAGCCCGGTGATAAAGCAGGAGGGAAGCCCCCTTTTTGAAAGAAAGCTCGCGTGCTGTTCTGCCCGAGTAGTCAAATTTGGCTATTGCTTCAATGGGTTCACATTCTAGAACAAAATGAGAAAATTTGAATTTATATTGTGTGTGCGCGTGTACATGTGCAGGTTGATGCACAATGTCCTACACGCTCCAAATAAAGACATTAAAAGAAGCACAATTTTATAAGCCATTTTATAATCAGCTAGGTACCATTAACCTTAAACAAAGGGAAAGGTAATGTAAATAAAACTAATATTGGCAGCTAACAGAGAGACATCAGATTTTGAGGGCAAGTACAGAAAAGGTACGTAATGCATGTCATCCCTTCTTTCTGCTTTTTCAAGACCTTCCTTCCTCAAGATCCAATTTCCCAAACTTAGCAGCACCTTCTCTTCCTTCTATTTCCTCAAACACTGCTTCCATCAATCTGCTGATTTATGCTTGTACTCCTTATTGCAATGATCTAAGGAGTAGAGAACAGGCTCTCAGTGTAACAATGGCCCATCTGCCCCTAAAGTCTTGCAGGGTTTCCCTTTCTTTCCTCTTCCTGGGCATCTGCCAATATCCTTGGCTTTTCCTCTTCTTACCTTCCTGAACAATTTCTGTTTGCTTTCTGTAATTAGAACATATAAAGACATTATGACAGAAGATGGCAACATGAAAACAAAGATGGAATTAGAGCAGCAGGGCAGGAATCTGGAATGGTGGGAATATTTACAGGTTAGAAACAGGTTTAAAAGCGATAAGGTACGGTTTGGGATCTACCCAAACCCTCAGGGGCTAGATAAGATTTTGTTTGGCAGAGACAAGAAAATGTTATCGAAGATTTATCAATTTTTGACCTGCCAAGGTGCTAATGAAGAGATGGATAAAAGCCTTCTAATAGCATGGGAGAGAAACTTTGGCTATGAGATTGAAATGGGCAAATGGTGGGATCTATGGAGTAAGACCATTAAACTTACAATATCTACAGCATTCAAAGAAAACATATACAAGATGGTTTATAGGTGGCACTTCCCCCCAATGAGGTTAGCCAAAATGTTTCCTGGGTTATCTCCACTGTGTTGGAAATGTGGAAGAAAGGATGGCACATTCTACCATATTTGGTGGTCCTGTACTGAGGCCACGAAATACTGGAGAAGGATTAAAAAATGGCTAAAAGAGGTTACCGGGGCAAGCATGGAATGGAGACCCGAGAACCTTCTACTAAGCACAAAACCAGAAAACATGAGCAATTCAATATGGCATTTGAGCCTACATATAATTGTGGCCGCAAGAATAACTTATGCACAATTTTGGAAATCCACTACCATACCATCGGAAGATGCTATAATTAAAAAGATCTATGAATGTGCAGAAATAGACAAAATGACGGGTTGGCTGAGGGACAAAGGAGAAACGGAACATTACCTTAGCTGGAACTTATGGTATATGTGGGCAACAAGGAGAACAGCAGGGACTTAAAACGGGGAAAGTTAAAAGTGAACATGGGTATTGTAATAGATCCCTGAATTTTGTAATGAGAAGATGTGGCTTAGAGACCTAACAATGAGGAAGGAAAAAAAAAGTTGGGCTGTGAATGACTGTCACCGTGGGGGAGGGGGAGGGGGGTTGTATGTTTCAAATTGTATTTGTATTTGTATGTTTTACTCTTAAAAAAATGTAAAACTAATAAAGATTACTTTAAAAAAAAAAGAACAAAACACTCTTCATTTTGTTCCATAACATCCAAAACTGTCTGTTTAGATGCAAACCATCCCAAAAAGTTGTTGTATGCACAAAACACTTTGTGCACAGAATGTTCTATACATCTTTAACTAAAACACTTATAAATGTTAAATGTTTGTTACCATCAGATAAAATCTAAAAATATTTGCTAATTGCCCAATAGCAATGGGAGGAAAAGATAATTATTGCAAAAGGAATATAATGGAGTCAATTTCCCTTACAGTTTATTTTTGACAATTCATATTTTTCAAGTTATGTGCAATACCCACAACAATGTTCTTCCAAGATGATATTTCAATATTTCATTCCAAATATGAGAAAAAACGGGACTGTGGAAGAATCTATCAGATACAGCTTACCATCATCACTTGTATGGTGTTCAATAGTTATATCCTGAGTGGCATCTTCTGTAGAGACAGTCTCTCCATGAGGGCTTTCACTGCAGAAGGAAGAAATGCACAGAAGGTTAGACTTATGCCTGCAATCTTTATCGTAACCCCATCATTAAAATGGTATGTGGTACTTTAGGTATCACCTTCAGGTATCACCAACAGTATCTTATCTTTACTTAATTCAGGTCTGAAAAGCAATGCTGGAATAAAGCTGTGTATTATCATGTACTTCAGACTAAATATGCTGATAGTTGAGTGATTGATCATTTTTCTCTTTGATTGTATTTCTGAATGGGAAAAAAACTCCTTCATGACACCAGAGGGTAGAGATGAAGTACTTCAGACAGCCAGAACATACCCTTTTCTGATATCCTGAAATAAGTGAGGTAGATGGTGAAATATATTATCTACAGCAGCAATAATGATTATGTGAATTTGCTTTAGTCTGAGCCAAATCATTGATCTAAGTATCTCAGTATGATCTACTCTTTATGACTGGTAGAAAAGGTTTTTCTCTGTCAATGATGCCTGATAAATTTAAATTTAAATCTATGACATATCTAACATTTTGCTGATATAACATATTTTGAATATGAAATGTTAGAGGCAAGAATTTTCAATTCAGTATTGCTCTAACTCAGATTTTTTTTTTGTTAACTTAATGTTCTGATAATCCTATGAGGAACTAGCTATTTCAGGGAGTTTTTCCCCATCCCCTCCTGTTGAAGGAGTCTTTTCCTCAGACATGAAAAAGTCCTCTGTAGTTAATGGAAGGTAGTAAAGAGAGAAAGTCAAATGCAGAAGTTCCACGGCAAAAGGCCACTTGAAGTTGGAGATTCCATGTTCCTGCTGTTATAATATACAGGGTTTTTCTAAAATGTAATATGGAAGTATATTGTAGGTTTTTTTACAACACTAGAGAATTCTATTAATTAAAACAATGATTTTGCTATATAGTAAATATAGATTTCTATCTGTAATATCAACGTAAGTCCAAGGGCTCAGATATAATTTGCTATTGAAAGGCAAGTAAATACTTCAACTATGTTGCCTCACATATCAATCTCCCCCCCCCCCCAAATCATAACAATAATGAAAATATCTGCTTTCAAACATTCCTGGTGTGTGTGTGCTTATATTTTGTATTTCTTAACTGCCCATCTCTCTCAGAATAGCTTTCATCTTCTAACTTTCAGCAGGCTATTTTTAAAAACAAAAACTAAATTCCTAAAATCACATGTGAATATAGAGGGTGCTTGGTACAAATTGGAAAAAAGAGGGGTTTGCAAGGATATTAAAAGTTTAACAGATGCCATTAGTCTGATTCAAGACTCTGAGGTAGAAAATCAAAGGCGGTCTTTTTCCATACTGTGGTGGATTAGATATTATCAGGGTCTGCTGATCAGTTTTTCTGATCCAACTTAGCAGACAAAGGCAGATATACTCAATCTTTTCCAGTACATAAAGAAAAGGGGCTGCTTTGTCCTGCCTTAGTACTAAGTGGGAAAAGCAAGCTTGTTGTTAATCGATCATAGATAACAAAGACCAGCCCTTTTCCACCATGCAAAGTCCTGTATTTCTTGTGACTGGCTCACATGCAGGCATATGGGTCTTTCTTGTTTAGGCAATTATGAAGATGGGGAGGCTTAGGCATTCCTCCCACATTTCATTTCAACTTCCTTCTCTTTGTGAAGGAGCTCATTTGTGTTGTTCTAGTGAAAAATAGGGGCAGAAGCATGCTATGGTGAATGGCTGTTATTTGCAGAGGAAAAGAAAGACAGGACTCTGATATGGGAATGTTTCTGTGTGTCGGCACTATTCCTACTGAAGAACAGATCAGCTTTATATTTTACAAGGATAAACAGAATGAAGAATGTGACAGCAACTGATATTAAAAAAAAATCTCAATAAATAGATATAAGTTCATGATTTAGTATCAAAATACATTTTTATCCTTTATGCAAATGTCAAAATAAAAGTTGTTAAGGTCACTCAATTCCAAGAAGATTTTGTGTGGTCTAGAATAAGTCTAATACATACATTAAAACACATTAAAAACCACATAATTTCCTGGACCAATTCCTTCCTTCCTTTAAAAAAAAAGCCAAATGGATATAATATCTTAAAGCTCCTCAAATCTTATGCACCAATATCTCCTTTAATCTTTCTAAAATCAAGCTGATTTTCTCTGTTTTTAAGAGGTTTAAAGGGCAAGGCTGCTTAGAGTTGATTGATTGGAGTGGCCTTTAAGTGTTACAACAATAATATGAAAAGAATGGCTTAAGATTTTGCAATATTTCAGGCATCCATTTTGCCCCTTTGCTGGGGAATAAAAAATGTTAGTCTCCATACTCTATTCTGAGTGACTTCACCAATCATGTACCTTGGGAGTAAAAGAAAAATCAAAAGAGCTCATACTCATCAATATAAATAGATTTTTTTCCAGTTAGCAACTTTTAGTAACATTCCTACTGTACTGTTAGGCATTTTTGTTAGCAATTTTTAATAAAAGTATATTTATTAGCATTTGTACACACATTTAATAAAATGTAATTGTAATTACTGCATAGAAACTCACATTTTAGCATCCCTCAAATTCTGCACCTTAAATTATGTTAGATTATGTATTAAATTGGGGTTTCTATATTTTCCAAGGCAGAATATAATATTTAAAACTAGTGACTGAAATTTCATAGTTTTAAATAAAGTATATAATTAAAATGTAATGACATGCAGTGGATAAAAAAATTACACTTCAAGTTGACATTTTACTTAAATCCCTTTCTCCAAAAACATTTTTTTTTCTTACATGACCATTTAATTTATATGGAAGAGTAACAAACAGAAATTACAAGTGGAAAATATGTTTTTTTTTCTTTAAAGCGAATTTGTTTAGCTATTACTAGACTCCTGCTGCAAGACTATGTAATCCAAGCAATGTTAGAATTATGAGGCATCAGAGATGGTGACCAGTTACTAAAGTTGATAATTCTCCAAATTCAATTACTTTGTATAGAAGAAATATCCTGAATTCCTTAATTTTTGAAGAAAGAGTTATAGAATGTAGGATGTGTTCATATGATTGAGTTCCTTAATTTTCCTTAATTTTTGAAGAAAGAGTTATAGAATGTAGGATGTGTTCATATGATTGAGATTCTTTCTAGGAACATAGTAGTCTTTCCTCTCATCTTAAAGTTGTGTTGGGTAACTGCACACTTGTATTCTGATATTATGGACATTATAACTTCCTCAGAGACTAAACGCACCATTTTCACAAGATTTTCAGAATCAAAACGCTCAGAACAATTTGTTCCATAAATATTGAGTAAATGCATAAGGTTGCCATGTTTATGGATATATGTGGTACCTGGGAAAAATGGCTAAGTGATATTAATACCACCTCAAAGTGAAAGAAACTAATGCCATATAATCTAAAATGCAGGAAAAATACAAAACTATAGTATGAAAAGACCTTTCATAATCAGAGTTAAAATACTACTTGTGACCTGTCTATCTTCATTAACTACTTTATGTGTATCTAGCTTAAGAAAGTTTTGATAAAGAATTTGCTCAAACTTTGTATTTTTCACTATGGGATCATATTTACTTTTGTTTTTAATCCACAGTTAAAATTGATTGATTTAACACATTATGAATTCAGCAAACTACTAATCTGAGGGCATCTCTAGAAATACTCCTTGCTGCTCTTTATGAACTCTCCCTCGCCAGTGGAAAGGTTTAGACACCAAACCTCAGATTCTACACTATTTCTTAATCTTCTTACCATATGGGGGGGGGGGGAAGGGAATAAACACTGAAAATTAGCTCTGTCTTGCTTCAACAAACCTGGTAATGTCATCCGGATGCTATTGTCTAGTTAATAATTCATCATATATTGTAGAGGCAAAAGAATTAGAGCTCAAAAATGGCAACTCTGCTGTGAGTGCTAATCACTGCAAGGTTTAGGGAAGACCAAAGAAATTTAGAATACATCAGCAGCAATATAACTATAGGTGGCCTGGGAGTTAGAGGATACATGTTTCATCAGCAAGCAGGGGACAAGTGAAAGGTTTGTTTTAGCTCCTTAAAATAAGCCCTTATGTATTTGGCAGCCAATAAGTCTCCCTGCAAGAAGATGGTCCTTGCTTAACATTAACTTCATGGTCCCAAGAAGCACATTGCTTCTCAAGAATTCCTTGATCTACTGTTGGAAAAAGAGATATTCAGGGAAGAGCCCTCAATGATTTGAACTTGTGATTCATCCAGTTCTGAGATAATAAGATTCAATGTCTTATTTCTCTCATAGCTGTTCCTTTTTGGGGGGGGTCGGGAGCAAACATATTACATCCAAGATATTACAAATGTAAATTAAGCAGAACACAAACCATGGAGAATAATGGAAATTAAATTGCTTTTGAAACTACCATTTAGAGAGACTCAGCTTGCAAAAAACACACAAAAATATTAAATATTTTATATTGGCCTCCAATTATTTTTTTTCAAAAAAATGTCTTTTATTTTCTTAATATAGTATATACAGGTAAATGTCAAGCCAGAAAGAACATTACAACTAAGCAAATGTATTTATACAACATTTAGAATGTCTTGGCAAACCTCTTTGGAAGATTTAATTCTACTCCGGTGCAATGAGAAGGGTCTTCAACTGTCCATGGTTATAGATAGTCTATTTACCCAAAAGAAATTTTCGAGCCAATTGTTCACAGTAGGTGCTTCTGTTTCCTTTACTGTTTATCATAATTTAGAACATTTATTAAAATTTAAACAGCTGAAGCAGTAGAAACCCATTTTCCAGATCTTGTTCCCCTGCTGAGGATGCATGATATCCTACAGGCTCCAAATAAAGACATTACCAGAAGCTCATTTTTATAGCTCTGTGACCATTTTATAATCATCTTAGGGACATTAATCTTTAAACAAAGGGAAAAATAATAGAAATAAAATTAAGATTGGCAGATAATAGAGTGACTCCAGCTTGGTGGAATGGGTTTCTTTCGTGGAAAACGTGAAAATAATTTCTTTTGCAGTCTTCGGGTGGTACTTCAGAAGAAGAAAAATGATACCAACTTAATTGATTGCCCAAAAGTGCAACTGAATCTTTTTTTTGGGGGGGTGGGGGAGATCATTTTTAATGGTCTTCCTTTCAATGAGTGGAGCAAACAATTCCCTTCCTGTTTATAACTGCAGTATCCCCTTCCGTATTCACCTGGTGAAAAAGGTGACTCCCGCTGTTGCAACATTTGTTTGCAAATGTTGGCTTCAGAACAAAGGCACAAACAGTCCTCTTGTGTGTAGTATTAGGGAGAAAATAAGGTTTTCTCCCTTGTCAATGCTACCTTGAAATTAAACCATTTTGAGCTTTCTTGGCTCACCTGCTATCAACTTTGCCTCTGAAGGAAAGCTGCTCAAGAAATGTTGAGAAAAGTGATGGATGTCAATGATGGATTCAGGCAGTGTGCTGGTACAATATTTCCACAATCTGGCTATGGTAATTACCACAATACCATTAGAAAGTTTCATTAACAAGCCTGACTGCTTTATTTTCTACAATATAATAAGGTGTAATCATGCCAGATACCTTCTGCCGAATCTAAGAGGTCTATATTTTTAGTGCGAGAAACCTGCTTGCATTTAAGTCTCTTCAACCATTTTGTCTTTACACAATACAGTGTAACAAAAGCAGAATAAATCCTGGAACCAGCACTTTGAAGTAGCACACTGCTCCCTTCACTTCTCTCCCTTTACATCCTACCGTACCAGTAATCCTCAGTGCTTCCACCCCTGGCGTATATAGGTCCCTCCATCTCTCTTGCTCCTGGGAAGACATTCTCATGTTGTATGATTATAGTTTTGATGAGCTCATTAACGTGAGCTTGGCAAGAGACCTGATCATGGCCTTCAGGCACGGACATCAGAGTGGGTCCAAAGCAGATGGCTAAATTATAGGGGTCCATCATGTTCTCTTCACTGAACTGAGATAAACTGTAGGGGGAAAAAGAGAACAGAGTGACAATAGAGAACAGTATCGCAAACTCCCAGATCTAGAGTAATTTTCTATAATGGAAAGCTGATTTAAAATAGCAAGAGTGTCTTGAGACTACTTAACTAAAGTTATGCTTAAAATCGACTACATACAGAAGATGAGAGAGAGCTTTTCTGCATTTGATACCTTATAACACATTTAATTTTCTTTGTAAGGATGATGTTTCTGTAGCAGAAGATGTTTAGAACATACTGGATAGCACATGGATTTATTTAATTAATAGCAGGAACAATTTTCATTTTATGTTCAATTAACACAGAGAACATTTGTTAAACGTGTGTCCGTGCATCTCTGTGTAATGAGGGATGGAAGACTCACCATCTAGCTTCATTTTAGTGCAGACTGCACATTATTGCCAGCATTTTTTTGGCATTTGTTCCATGCCCCCTGCCTAGAGAACAGCTGCATCAGCCACACCTCATGAACAGCCAAGAAGCAGATGAAAGTGTGACTGAATATGATGCTGCATGGTTCACAGCACAACACTGTAAGGATTCTAACACACCCCTTTGATTCTCCCCCCTATTTGCATCCATTTTTCACAGCCAAAATATCTTTCTTTTTCAAAGAGAACACTAAAAGCTTCATGTCAATGCTCGACATGGAATGTCAATCATAGGCATTTGAAGCATTAGTCAGTCTGACACAATGAACATTTCTGAAGGTAAACAAAAAGAACAGCTTTGCTTTAAAGGGTGCGAAAGCTTACCCCTACATCCTCCATACTCCACTACTGTCATTTATAAAATAATGTTTTCAACTGCCCAGAACGCAATTCAGTTGCTGATATTTCACCTTTCAAATTCCAAAGAACAAAGGGAGGTGCACTCTTACCCCACACTTAGGCAGCAATCTTTGAATCTTACTTGAAAGCATTTCATAACCTTTCAATAAGAACTGGGTTTGACAGCCCAGGACTTAGCCAAGAAAAATGTATTCAATGTAAAAAGTAATTTTACTTGATTAATTTGTCATATTTTTAACTGTAACTCTCCCTGCAACACATGCAGAGGAAGCATGCCAGAAATTCACTACATTACTATTTATTTATCCTTAAGAATAGAATAAACTTGGCTAGCTAACAAAATTCACTATCTAGCACTTGACCTTCAGCTTCTCCCGTGCATATGTAACATTGGATAACATTCAAGCTACTTCACTCCATGTTCTTTAATTAGAATATTTGCAGAATATTTGAAAGGCAGAATTAAATTGTTCTTTTGGAAGAACAAAATGATTCTGCCTTCTGAAATTTAGGGGATGGACTTTGACTTGGGCCTTTTTCATGGTGATCCAATCCCTAGGAAATATACTGTCCCAACAATTGTAGGTCCCCCCCCCCCAAATTTCTATCTTTTGATAAAGTTACAAAGATATACATTTTAGTGCAGCATTGAAAGCTTAAGCCCTTGCTACATGGCTCATTAACTCTATCTTTTTTAATCTTGTGGGTTAGCTGCATCTCTGGAGCAGGGTAAACATTAAGATTTAATAAACGGTATAAACATTAGAGGATATACAGTATCTAAAAGAGAAATCCCTTAGCTGTACCCCTGGATTATATACCAGCAGCCACCTGTCTTGTGTTTAAGAAAATATCTTTCCCAGCAGTCTGCTTAGGGGTATTTATTTGCTTAAAGATGAAACATCCTTTGAGTTGAGATCTCCTCCTGATGATTTTATAAATATATGCATTTTGTTTCTTGGCAACAAAAAAGAAATGGTTTGTCTCTGCCTATTTTGAAGATATTTGGTACTTTCTAATCTTGTATTTCCTAATGGTCTCCTATTCAAGGAATCCCATTTCTTTATTTCTTCAAAACTAATCAAGATCAGTTAGATGCTGCCATTTATCTAGGCACTGATTTATTTGTTTATTTACACAAATTACTCCAGTAAAAGCACCTAGCATTAGCTGTGTAGAAGTAACATAAATTCTCCAATTACAGCCCTAAAAAATGAATAAATCACTTTATTAAAGACATCTTTTTGGATTTTCTCCCCTCTGTCCTTTTTAGCATGAATTACATGCTCCTAAACCATGCCATAACATGTATTGTCAACATCAACACCCCCAAAATTTGTACCAGAGCACACATGATAGGAAAGACAGTGACAGTTTGTGAACAGCCTAATTGGAGAAAGAGTACAGAAATACCCTTTATGAAAACTTTTTCATAGATAGAGATCATTTTAGTATCTATAGTAGAATGAGGAAGGTGCTCATGATATTGTAAGCACAAATTCCAATATTATGCCTCATTTAAATATTCATAAAAAGGCTGCTTAAATGTACAGAAGTATCTCCGTGTAGGCAAGACACATGAAACCAAGCATACAATGTTTCAAATGCAAAATACTGCCCACAAACTGCAGAATTGTGCACATTCCCCACATATCTGGCAGAAAACTGGTTAATGGATACATACATTAAAATGTCAGTCTGCCTTTTTCTCTTAGAATAAGTCTCTTGCTGTAAAAGCAAAACTGAAATCACATGCATCTGGCTAGTGAAATCTCAGGAAATAAAAGGGTAACATCTTAAAGCAAGTCAAACATGGGTGTGTATTTGTACTGTCTGCAAAATTATTTTCCCCTGTTCCTAGTATACTTGCTGCAACATCAGCAAATTTACCTTTGTAATTTAAGCAGGATACAAAATTCTGATGCAACTTCTGTGAATGGTTTAAAACACACAACAGCGGAATGGGCATTACACTTTCCTATATATTGCACTTTCTAATATTCATATTGTTCAGTTCCTAAGGTCAATTAAATGGGAATCTTTGGAATTCAACAAAATAATTCTAAAGGACCATGTTTATGATAGTTAACTTTGCAGATTATCTTGCAGCCCTATAAAAAAGAATTTTAATCCATGCGAAGTTCCAGTAGAACTAGCTATTGCTGAAACTTAGAAAAAATCCTTAATGTGAAGAATTTGTATTTGTATTTATTGTATTTATTTGTCTTGTATGCCGCCCACTCCCGAAGGACTCCGGGCGGCTCACAATAGACAAGGGAAGGGGA